CATAAATTTGAATCCAGATGTGTACTTACGAATGTAAAGATGACGGTGGTATAATTGGTTTTGTTGCTACGAAAAAAAGTAAGTAAGAAAACTTAAGTATACTGAGGTATTTCGATCCAATCTTTTGTATCTAATTAAAAAAAAAAACACAACATAATGTATTGTATGAAGTGTCACATAGTATACGAAGGACATTAACATAAATATTTCCCCTGTTATCATTCTTTTTTTATCAAGATTCTACTCGGTTTCTTTTAGGATGCGAAGGTGATCGGGGGTGTCATAACCCCGGCAATGCATTCGAGAAAACTTTCCAAAATGAAGTCTTTGCGAAAACCAAATGTAGAGTTGAAGGGGAAAAGACATATTACTGTTTCGATGACTAGATAAACACTTAGGATTTGGAAATAAAGTTTTATTCAAAAGAGCAATTTTTCTTTTCTTTTAAGTGACGGGTAAGAAAGGGGTCTGAGAAAAAAATCCAATTTTCTCTGAGACCTCTTATAGTGGTTAACACTGCAATATGTCTATTATGTCATATGTTGAATTGTTTTGTATATGAGAGACACGAATTGCTTTTAAAGGGACAGGTTGGACTTTTTTTGACCAATAATACTTTAGTCCGAGAAACTAGAAATTTTATACTGAGCTATTCAGTAATAGTCTTCACAGCTCACCGTCGAAAATGAACCTTCAAATCCATGTGTGTCCAGAATTATCTGCATGTGAATGTTAAAATGAAGACTCGTTAATTTAAGATCCTCTGTGATATATAGAATTTAAGACATATTATATAGAAATACTGAGTAAAACTCGTCGTTTGTATTTTTTAAGGAATTATGTGATTTTCGTACATTTCTAGTACTTCTTAAGATCATTTACATATATTCAGGACTAAAATCAACCCCCCAAAATTGCACATCTGTCCTTTAAATGATACGCCGACGTCAGGCGTGCATTTCTATGGTACGTATTAGAAGCTATACATTCCCAATTTTCACAACTACAAAAATCCGTTTGGTTCCCATTCAAAATATTACAAATGAGTTTCTGGGTGGTCATTGAATTAAGTGTAGGGCGTGCTCACTTTTCATGCAAACCGACATTTATTTGAA